TGGTCTCTTCCAACTCTATGATTCTATGATTCTATGATTCTATGGGAGGAAAGATCAGGGAAGCAAACTTTGCAATGACTTCTTCCTCTTGCAGCCCACTGTGTTTCTTGGAAAGTACTCTGGATGACTGGGAGACCCTCCAGAGCAGCATTAGAAGGCACACAGTAGCATACCTGCCAACATTTCAGAGACTAAAAATGGGACATGCATGTCCAATCAACATCAAAGTGTGGTCATAGTGGCAAAACTTATTAATGAGGAGAAGCACAAAAGCTAAGAGAGGCTGGAGCAATTTGCATTTGCCAGAGCCTACAGGGAAGAGTAATATTCCGCCCACTCCTTTCCCTGCTGCTGAATAAATTGAGTGAAACTACTCTTTCACTTTGAACTCATTTTGCAGCAACTGAAGTAAGCTAAGGACAAAGGACAAAGGAGGCAAGTGTGAGGAGAAGCGAGAAACTGGGACATTTCTAATGCAATTGAAAAAGTAGGGTGGCAGAGGATTAATCAGGATTGATGTGAAGTCGAAGGCTTTCACGGCTGGCATCCATAGGTTTTTGTGGGTTTTTCAGGCTGTGAGGCCATGTTCTAGAAGAGTGTATTCCTGATGTTTTGCCTGCATCTGTGGCTGGCATCTTCAGAGATCTCTGAAGATGCCAGCCACAGATGCAGGAAAAACGTCAGGAATACACTTTTCTAGAACAAGGCCTCACAGCCTGAAAAACCCACAAAAACCTATTAATCAGGATTGTTTTTCCCAAACTGTGGTGGTTGGAGGGTATACAGGAGGCTACAGGTAACTATCAGGAGTCCTTCCATTCACAGTAGAGGTGCCATAACTTCCTAAACAGCATAGCCAATGATGAAGAGTGAAGCCTAAGACCTGGAACACAATAGGTTTCCCACCCGTAATTCATAGAATGGCAAATTTAGATCCAATTGCTTAGGTAAAAGTTAAGATTTGTCTTAATTTCTGCCTTTTATCAACACAGACAAGCAGAATGATGTGGAGATTCCCTCTCCCACGCAGAAGGATAGAGAGAAAAAGAAAAAGCAGCAACTTATGACACAGATCAGTGGTGTGAAAAAGCTAATGCATAGTTCAAGCTTGAATAACACTAGTATTTCAAGATTTGGTGTGAAAACGGAGAAAGAAGACCATCTAGCAAAGGTTAGTGATTCCCTATACTTCTAGTAGTCTTGTGAAAGATGTAAATGAAGAATTGTTCTTCCAGAGTGATGAGAATGTTTTTGTTCTGCTCCCTTGTTTAAAGATAAAGTTGTAGTTTTGGAAGATAGTATCATCAATTGCACCATATTGAGATGAACCTTCATAATAAGAATGTCTCTAATCCTAGACTATTATAAATTATTGATATAAGTATTTACTGATATAGGTCCCTTACGTCTGGCCATTATCAAAGATGAGCTAACCTATGACTGAGGAAGATTATATGTCTGAATGAATGAGGGATGAGCTGAGTGATCCTCGGCCTTCATATTGTAAATCCCATCACTCACTCAAAGAATGTGAGTCCTACCTTGATAGAAACAAAAGGTCTACTTTTTCCAAGAAGAACATTTGTATGTTTATAAGGCTTGTATCACTATTTGCTGGGGGTCTCTCCAGGAAATCCTTAGTGAGATTATAAAAAATTCTGTGTTGAAAATATTGAGCAAGCTTCCTCTGAACTATAACTGCAAGATTTCTTATAGGTAAAGCAATGAGTGATTGATCTGGTAGAAATATTGAATGTGGATATAATCAATATTGTCATTGTTTTTTTAAAAAAAGAATTAAAACAACTTTAGATATGTAACCATCTTAAAATCCTTTCTGAACTTTGCAGTAGGTAATAAGATCAATCTTCATTTGCTTTCCCATTTTCCTCCAACGTTGTTGTTGTTGTGTGCTTTCAAGTCATTTCCAACTGATGATAACACTAAGGTGAACCTATCACTGAGTTTTCTTGGCAATATTTGTTGAAAGGGAGTTTTGCTTTACATTTGGCTGAGGCTGAAAGTGTTTGCCTTGCCCAAGATCACCCAATGGGATTCCAGCAGGGATTTGAACCCTGGTCTCCAGAGTCTTAGTCCAGTGCTCAAACCACTACCTCATGGCTCTTTTTTTAACCTACCATGCTTCACATAATCCTTGTGTTCTTTCTATATACTCTCCCTTCATTAATTAGTTTATATATATGGGATCTGCAACAAAATGTTGCATTGTGAGATGCTCGTGTTCACTTTTGCAGTGAGCCACACATACCCTCCTTTGCAATATTCTCTCCCATTTTGTCTTTTTGTTGTTGTTGTTCCTACCAACTTTCATCATTTTGTTCTCACTGAGCAGAGTGATTGGGTTAAATCTAGTGCCCCTCTCCTGAGATTTTCTCCTTCTAAAGATCTTTGCTGATACCTGCATTTTGTGCATGAATGGTGCTGGCAACATAAGCAGTGGCATTCTCTGTTGAACTCTAGAATCAGTAGTAATTATAGGTTTTCCCTGGTTCCTTTTATATACTTTTTTAAAAAATGGTAATTATGTTGTGTACAATCATTCTGCTAACTTTTAGAAAAAAAATCTTCATTCAACTTATAGTAACATGGTGCATTTATTAATTTGTTATTTTTGGATTTCCCCCCCCCCCCTTTAGGAACTAGAGGATCTAAATAAATGGGGCCTGAACATATTCAATGTTGCAAGATATTCCCACAGTAGACCTCTCACCTGCATTATGTATGCCATTTTTCAGGTGTGTAATTACATTGATGTTTTGATTGCTTTATTATCATGCATTATTTAGATGGTTACAATCTTGACTATCATTCCCATCCCACCCTTCTGTCCATAATTAAATTTTTAAATTACCTTGAATAGGAGAGAGATCTACTGAAAACATTCAAGATCTCATCAGACACATTTATAGCTTATATGATGACTTTAGAAGACCACTACCATTCCGACGTCGCTTACCACAACAGTCTCCATGCAGCTGATGTAGCTCAATCAACTCATGTTCTTTTATCTACTCCAGCCTTGGATGTGAGTAGTTCATCCACACCCTGAGAAAAATTATTCATACTGTAATAATATACTTTGGATGATTTTGGTTTCCTATTCCATGATGTCTCAGTTAATATTCTGATGTAAATGTACATGCTTCATTCAGTTGTTTTGATGACATTTCTATGATGCCAAAGGCATTCCCTTGTATTCTTGCATTTTAGGTAATTGCATAATTAAACTTATGAGTCAGCCCTGGTTAGTACTTGGAAGGGAGACCACCAATGAATACCATAAAGTGTGGGGGAAAGAATCAACAAAACTACCAAGTATTCCTTGCCTAAGAAAACCCTATTAAATTCATGGTATCATCATAAATTAACAGGTTACTTGAGGGTGTACATGTGTGTATGTGCGTGCATGCATGTGTGCATGTGCACACACAAACACACACACAGGATTAACCGTGGCTGTTGTAAAAGATTTATGCCAGACTGCCATTGGTGTAAAGAAGAGCTGCTTTCACACAGGCATTCTCCCTTCTGTCAGGGGTTGTTGGAGTTATTGCATCCCAAGAGGACATGCCATAATGGAGGAAAAGTGGCAAGTGGTGCTGAAAAGTATACTGAAGTCCCTGTCATTTGAATATTGTGACTATTTTTTTTATCTTATGTCATATTTTAATAAATGTTAGTGACATGGTTTGTGCTGATGAGTGACCAGGTTGTTCATAAGTTTGTAACTGTGATATATCTCTTGCTTTCCCCTTTTCTGGCTAGGCTGTCTTTACGGATTTGGAAATTCTTGCAGCAATTTTTGCAGCAGCAATTCATGATGTGGATCATCCTGGTGTCTCCAACCAATTTCTTATCAACACAAGTGAGTCCTGTGCTTATTAAATGCACTAAAATATGTACAAGTATCACCAGTTCTGGCCTGTTTTTCTCATGAATCCAGTGTACTAATAAAATATTACATTCATATAGATATATGGGGAGGGGAGAGAATTCTAAATTCTACAACATACACTCACTGATTTGTATGAATGTGGTATCCCAACCATGAGATTTAAAAAAAAAAATATCATGAGCAAATTGATTTAACTTTAACATCACTCTCTAGAGAGTGATGCCTGAAAATGTCAGACCCAGTTTATCAATGCAACCAACATTCACAAGCTACATGGGGCTGTACTGATATGTTTTCCATAGTATTTTTTTCTAACTCAAAAAGATGACCAGAGAGGAGCACAGACAAATGGGAACTTGATCAGCCAAACTGTGCTGTGATAAATTTCTAGATGGAAAATATCGAAATCAGTCTGAAAGGGAATGTATTTAGAGATTGGAAAAGTTGCTTTCTACTGCAGTTCCCAGAAGTTCTCTAGCACTGAAATTTTGGGAGTTATACGCAGAAAAGTAATTTTTCCAATATGTGGTTGCGAGTAGACTGTGTGATAAACAAAGACAATAGCTGGGAAAACAAAAGCAAAGTTAGTCTGTCATCCTCAGGTGTTTCTTATGGACTTATTGAAAACAGCCATGTTGGAAAAAGTATGGTAGAAATAGAATATTGCACCATATTGATATTTGATTTGATCTTCCAAACCTCTTTTTGTATCTGTATATACAACAAATCAAGGAAGAACTAAATTGAGAATGCCAAAGACACTTTCTGTTAGCTGCAGTGTGAACCATTAATACAATAATTTGCAAATAGCTTGTGGGAGCACTTAGATCAGTAGTTTTCATCCTGTGGTCCTTCATTTTCATTTTGTCCTGCAAGATATGTGCTCCTGAAAATTGTATGCATTTTAACGCACATGTCCCTTAATATATACATATTTGTACATATTTTCTTAGAGTACTTTTTACAAGATTTGCCTCTCCCTTTCCCCAAGAATAAGCATTTTTTACTCACACTATTCTTAAAATGCAGGTTTCTGTATACAAGTGCATACTGGTTCACTTATATGAAATCTATAAAATTTGAATCTTCCCAGCCATACCATAAGCCAGTGGGCAACTTGGGTGTTCCAGATGTAGACTGCAGTTCCCAGGAGTCATAGCCAACAGAGCCAGCAATGGTGAGGGATTGGGGGTTGGAGACCAAAAACACCTGGAGGGCCATAGTTGCCCTCCAGGTTACATTAAAGTGGGAGAGGTTTCAATTTAGTAAATTCATAAACAAATCTGAACCAGACATATTTCTCCCACATCCCTACATTACCTTAGATGATCACTAAAATTGCTGGCAAATCAATTAATTAATACTAAATTCTGGAATTTTTATAATAATAATAATAATAATGATAATGATAATAATAATGATAATAATAATAAATTTTTATATCCCGCTCCTCTGCTTGGCAATCGGGGTGGGGAACAACAATATTTAAAACAAAACAAAGTTAAAAACATTCCCTCATCCCACAATCCCATCCTCCTCCCCCTCCCATCCCCTTAAAACAGGATTAAACAATGAACTAGTTAAAATGCAATATTAAATAAATTAAATAACAAAAAAAAAATAAATTAAACATACGGAGTCAAACTAATGGGACTCATCTTGCCGACAGTTATTCCGGGAAGGCCTGCCGGAAAAAATCCGTCTTTACTGCTTTCTTGAAAGCAGCAAGAGTGGAAATAAGACG